CGCAGCTTACCGGAAATCGTCCTACATTTGCCATTCTCAGGCAAATAAATAAAGAGGAAACACGATGGAAAACAGCTATTTAGCGGCTTTTTCCACTCATCAGTATTTCAAGCGTATTACTCCGGCTGCGTAGAACATAAAACACACAGTGGCCAAACCTAGTGATGGGTGGTGAGCAAAAGATTTCAATGTTTGGTTTCATAGCTGGTCTACAGTGACACCTTGAGTATATACTAACTATAACAAGTATATGGGAATTGTGCATATTACCTCGATGGAAAAACCCATGTATCTGATTAAAAATCATTAAAATACATCACATCAGGTCTAACCATCCTTCTGTCTTTTATGTTACTATTAATTAGGCAGTTCTTTATCATGACGTAAAAAATTCTGTCTTCATTGACCATAAAACCTTTTAAGATACTTAGTAATGAACATAACGTTTGCTTTTTTTTTATTAATCCAAGATTATAGCATGTTTATCTTATTCCATCCGACAGCCTATATCTCTTCCTCAGAAATAAAATGCAATTAGTTCATGTGGTCACTTCTTGTGAAACAGGGTCAACACATACACTTTGAGGTATAAAATAAAGCTACCTTGAAATTCAATAAAATCGTGTTATATCATCCCTCTTATTTGTTCTGAAGTGAAGTATTTTATCAATTGTATTGTGCTGTTGAGAAAGTAGTTGGTAAAATATCCTGACCGGAAAGAGAAGGCGTGATATTAGCATCAAAGAAAGTAAGCTCTTGGTGAATTGTAATGACATACACCAAAGATTACCTGGTGCTTTGAATTAATTTTTTACTCCCTATAATTAATCCTTTTTATTTTCACCAAAAGGTAAGCCAGGCATGACATACAAGTGGAATCTGTGGATCAATTTATTTGGACAAATTTGTCTTTTGTGTATGAGATGTAAAACTGTTGCAAGTTAGAAAATGGTCGATTTCCTCCTAATGTTATCTTAAGTGGAGAGAGAAAGTTCAGCACCAAGGACAGAGACACGAAGACATACGTTTTAGAAAGGACCGGCAAAGACAATGATGTGATGATAACTGATGAGTTAGTGTTTTAAAAGTCTATTACGTCAAGCAAAAGATGAGTATGAGGCTATTTGAAATATAAATTACTAAAACATGCGTTTTTTTTAAAAATGAATGGAAAAAGAATAGGAAATCAAAACCACAATGCATTTCTTTGAAACATGAAAATGCCAATGGATGAGTGTTTTTGTAATGAAAACGACCACAGTCTTCAATATGTACTGAAAAGTTAGTTATGATTTATGTATGTGAGATAATGCTGGGTCACATTTTTGTTTATAAAAAAAGTAATACAGTGATATAAAGCTTAAAACAGAACACATATATGCATGTCTATAGCCAAGACAGTTACATAATCAAATATGGAAGTATGTTTATCTATATCTTTTTATTTTTGTAATTGCAGAATTCAATGCTTGATTGGAGCTTAAGCCAAAAAATGATACACATAACATAACTACCTCTTAAGATTCAACACAGCCAATTATCAAATACACTTACAAAATTTTAAACTTTTTTTTTCTTTATACTTAAACTAAAAGAACGTAGTGTCCGTTTATCATCAAAAATAAGAAATTCCACCACCAGGAAAATTAAATATTTTCATTTTTCTTAAACATTTGTTTGTCTGAAAAGTCAAATTCGAGCATGTTTAACAATGTCATGTTTTAAAGAAACATACATATAAAATGAGCTAAAAAGAATTTTGACATGAATGTGGATTCTGTTATTTATTTTACATTAGCCTATGCATGTATGTATTCATTGAGTCATTTATCTGTTTCATTTTCTAATTCCAAGTTGAGTGAGGAGAAGGGCTTGAGCTATTTCTACTCCTTACTAAGAAAGATGAAATAGACATGGGAACGGCCACAGACGCTCAATCGCTCACCCAGATACGAAAACAACAACAATGGCTCAAACATCTTGGCTCAATTTGTGGTGACCAAGAACATATCCATATTGTTGGGCGGTCGCAAAGAGCGCCAGTAAAAAAACAAAATCTCATGTGTAAAGAGGGAAACAATTAAACTCCACATATAAATATCCCCCGTTGAGATTTGAACTATTGATGTCGGGTGATGATACCAAGTAAATACGCCACGCTGAAGCTAAGATTACACATTAAAAGGATTTATCTTCACTAATGTTAGTTAACAAAATGAAAAAAGTTCACAGATAATACTTCTTGCAATTATGTCTGTGGGTAAACACAACCATTTAAAACAATTTAAATTTTGTAAACAGTTAATTGGACCCTACCTCAGTAGAACATTCTGTAATTCCAAAGGCATCTTCAAAGTCTGTTGGGCTTTTCTTCAGAGTCTGGTCAGCTGGCAGCGTGTTGTCATTGTAAGATGATACAAACTTAAAGTCACTGGTTCTCGATCCTGTTGTCAGATACGC